AAAAAAAAAAAAAAAAAAAAAAAAGTTTCTTAGCCAATCATAGGCTTATTTAGCGTCATGGTGGCCTAAAAACATGACTAAACAAAAAAACCGTATTTTTTTGGCGAAAATTTGGGACTCAAAGAGTTCATTATTTACGCTGTTCTTTTGTTAGTTAAGTTAGTAAGCTTTATATACTCTCATTCTCTAAGACACTTACATTATTGCATATTTTAGCAATACTCCTTGCCATGTTGATTTTTTATTATTTTTTTTTACATTACTTTTGTTGTTGTTGTTGTTTTTGCTGTTGTTTGATTAAATATCTTCATAACTACTGACGCCGGGACGCCGACGCTTGCTTCAACATCACAATAAACGGTAAATATATATTTTTTGAATTTAATTTGCTACTTATATCATATTCTATATAGTTTTTATTATCACAAACCATAATTCTAATAAATAAAAGCATCTGGTAATATTAGAAGTCAATCCATCCTTGTCAAACAACGTTTTAGATCACGTGACGTCCAAAGTCGTGTCCGTTGCACTAACAAGAAACCTTCAAGCCCAGGACAACAGTCAGTTGAACACGGACAACACCTAGAAAGCTCTGCTGCAGAAGTCACAGTACATGTAACTCTTTCACGGAGTGAGGCGGGTCTGGACACTCATGAAACCATTGAAGACTAAAAAGGCCTTCTTATGCTAATGTTAAACAGACCAAGTCTCGGACCCATAGAAAAGAGTCTTTAACCCACGAGGATGGAACCGCCAAGCAAACGCAGTTTGAAGATGGACATTGCATGCCATTGGACAGCTCACCCCTGGATGCTACGAAGGAGCTTCAGGCGCATGGAGTGGTAAATGTTAAAACCGCGGAAAAACAGGAAAACAAAGATCACGTTTAAGCAGTTGTTCATAAAGACAACAAAGGTAGAGATTCTGCCACCAGTTTCCACTCCAGAACACCCTACTCGAAACACTTGGGACCTGCGATCCGCCCGTTTTCATCTGTTGAACCTGTGAATCGCTCTTCTTCAGTTGAACCTGTGAATCGCTCGTCCTCCGAGGATCCGGCAAATCACTCAGCCTGCCAATCACTCACAGGACGCACTCTTAGGATACGAGACTGAAAAGATTACTTGTATGCAGTTGTTGACAAGGCAAACAAGAAAAAGAGATCACCTCAGGTAAATCTAACAGGAACGCTTTTTGTTGGTTTCAGTTGTTATGTGTGTGTGTTTTTGTTTTTGTTTTTGCTTTGTTTTTGTTTTGTTTTTTGTTTTTTTCAATATTAATCGAATATCATTGCTCTCTTCACCTCTCTGTTAAAACTATTACTTCATTTACTTTGAAAAACAGTCCAAAACTGATGTCGTGAAGGTTATGTAAAGAGAAATCAATTGACATCATTATTGATGCATTGTCAGACGAAGGTTACAATACAAGTAAATGAGTATTAAAGAACATCCCGAAACTGTTAATGGCCAAGTTATCACGATCTAAGCATTTTTTTTCTCTACTTTTGTTTTTATTCCTTATATATTTTCCAATTGCTGATCTTTCCTTGGCAATTACTAACATTTTGCTTTATACACAGAAGCCTTCCCCTTACTCTGGTCTTGTGTACGCCGACCTAAACCACTCCACAACAAGCAACACGGGACCAGTTAAAAGGGAGTTTCCAACTGTCTACGCCGATATCGATTATGCTAAGACAGACACCGCATGTTCAAAATTACCAGAGGAAAATTTGGATCAAACAACGGAGTCTGATGATCCGTAACAGAATAACTGCTATGGTCAACTAGCCAAGCCCTTAAAACATTAATGAACGACAATTAACGCTGCTGGGACAAAGTACAACAAAAATAATTACTTGATATTTTACTTCAGAAATTGGCAATAAACATTGTATTCTAGATGCATTTTATAACCAAATCTGTCAGCTTTAGAACTTCCAGCTTAGTACAAAAAATTAATTTACCGTTGTCACTCCATGTTCAATTACACAGACTCTGGTCAGTTAACATCACTGTTTTTATTTGCAGAGGACCTAAAATAAAAGCACCGATAGGTATTCTTAAACTGCGAATTAGCCCTGTCCACCCTACGCAGGAGAAACTTGAAAACGTACTTTATTTCTACGGTTTAAATCCGTTACGCCGATAAACCGTCAAAGTTTATGTTTAGCAAGGACACACACTTGATTCCAAGTGATCTTGCCTTGGCAGTCTGGTGTTTGATGATGCTGGTAAACGAGCAAACGACTTCGTGTTGTTCAGTGTTGCCTCCATGCAATCGCATACGTTTGTAATATTTAGCTCTTTCCATATGCAGTCGGCAACACGACAAGTACGTCTTGCTTCATTTTAAAAGAAACTTTCAACTGCTATTTCCTGCTCTCTCTTTAGTTTGAAATTTAACCAGAAATAGACTGGAACTTTGTTAAAACATCAGTAATACTAGACTACGAGTAGCCCCTCTTTCGCTTAGTCCGTCGTACGTGACGCGAAAGAAAACCGCGAGAAAAAATGGCTGTGCGAAATCCACCGCCTAAGCCCAAGAGTTTGAATTATGGGTTGCTCTCACAATGCAAAAATATGATTGGCTTATGTTAGGAGCGTTGACAACGTGTTGTCAACATTCGAGATACGTATGACGTCTTGCAGGAATGTTTTGGAACCGGAGCAAATCGAAGCGGTACCAGAGCAAATCGAAACGTTGGAATCGCGCTTCGCTAGCTGTGATGTTCTTGCGCATCTGCCAACAGGCTTTGGAGATATTTAAATTTAGCCAGTGTTTTGTTTGGCAAAACATTCCGCCTCCAACTCGACTGCGAGCGTGTTAGTGATTTTCGCCGCTCAACAGCATCTTCCAAGTCAGCGAATATAAATTCAATGAGCTTGGCCTTTCTGCCGTCCATTTGAAAGATTGAACCGGACTTTAATGTCACTTGAAACGGGACATTCACCTGAAACTTTCCGCTGCTATCGGCAAACATTTCACTGCAGTTGG